GCAAATTAGCAAAACCAAGGAAAAACCTCATGGGTGACCCTTGTCTTGGGTCTTCTGCTATATCAAGTCTAAGTTGTATCTCGAATGCAAGTTTTTGTATTAGTATTATTATTCTTTAATATATATTTATAAGTTTTCCAATTATTATAGAACCTCAGGGGCAGGTAAACAATAAAAAATCTCAATAATACATCCAACTAAAGGCGGGGTGTGCAAAACCTAAACATCCAACCTGAAATAATGACAACAATATTTCTCTAGGTGGCACGGAGAGAGATACCTGCAAATCTGAACACTATATGAACTAAAAATCTCCCCATACTGAATGCAATTGAACAGGATCTTCCTGTCCCTTAGAGGCCAGTAACTTATGTGTTACTTTTTTCTGCAATAACCAAATTCCAGGTATTTTTATAGCATAAGGATATAGTCAAGTTTTTAAAATGGCTTACACTGCTGTGCTACAGAATTCCTGGCAGCATCCATGTCAAAAGTTCCTTTTGGCAAAATATCTTCAAAGTACACATCCACATATTTAGTAGGGAAAACTGGGAATAAATTTGAGTATGTGTTTAGTATTCTTTGATAACTCCTGATAAATTTCATTCCAGAATAAAACAACCCTGTGATCCTTCCCATGAGGGATGAGGGGGAAAGTGCCTTTATTCCAAATTGTATTGATAATGTTTTATAAAAAGCTGTGCCTGTAGAATATTTAACTGCTTGGGATGGACCATTAGTTAGAAATATGTTTGAATTTTAAAAACAACAACAAAACTGATAAATCTCAACTTGCCTCCTAAGAATGCCATTCCACCATTGGGGGGTGCAAATTTTCCGCACCCATCCTCTCCTGGAAGATGACAAGACAAGATGGAGACAGCTATTGCCTGATGGCAATTTTGCCGAATGGGGAGAGGCAGGGCAGGGGATTTAAGCCTGCTCCACCTGTACTCTATCTTCTTCTTAATTTGACACCCATTTTGCAGTGTGGACCTTAAGGCAAGTTGTCTGTTTCCAAGGGGCTGAGTAGTGGATTTAAGGGAAGGGAGATCCTGACCAGCTTTGGGTCTTCTCTTGTTTGCCTCCTCCACACTAATTGGCATGTAGACTAGGAAAGATTAATCTCCTACCTGAGGTAGTGTTGGGGTGTGGGTATCTCTTAGTTGCTGTTGCTCCCCAGGTGCTGGGGAGGGGTGCCCTCTGACCAGGCGGACACATGGGGTGAATGTTGGCAAGGGAGACATGATGTGCCTGGTGGGCTCATATACCCCAACTGTAGCTCTTAACTTGCACAGGTGATGTGGGTTGAATTGCCCCCATCTATTAAAAACTACCTGCACAAATTTGATTTGGTTACATTGATTGAATTTGGCTAATCAATTTTGTTTTGCAGGTCCTCCTTTGTTAAATTTTAATAAAATACCTACATTTCATTGTCTTGAGTCTTCATCCTGGTGTGGTGGCAAATTGAGGAGGATTGAGGTTTCACAAGGGAAAAATCTCAAAATAGAATGGTGGATAGGAAGGATAGCCCCCCCACTCCAATCTGCTTACAAAACTCAAACAATTAAAAGAACAATGTTGATTTGATGAGCTTCTCCTAAGGCTACTGTAAGTAGGAGAGGCTGCAGAGTTTTGATAAGCAGCTTATATATCTTCTGGGTTCCACTGCCAAATGTGCCTGCTACTTTAGCAATGGTTTGCTTTCCCATATTTTCTTCTCCTTTTGAAGAGGGGCATTTTTCCCACAGAAGCCATTCTCATCCATGTGAATGCCTGGCACATCCAGCTGTGAATTAACAAGCAAGGGGATGAAGGAATGAGGAGGCCAAAGGACATTTGCTATGAGAGAACCAGATGAGCAATGGAGCAGGATCCATGTCAGAGGAGGCATGCAATACCTCAAGTAATCTAGTCAACGATTCCTTCTAAGTATGCAAAGCAGAGAGATAAAGTAATTGGGAAGTTTATGGCTAGCAGTGGATTCTACTTTGGGGGATCTTAAATGCTGAATTATTGGGGACTGCTACATTCCACTTCAATTTATTCCTAAAACTTGTCTTTAGAATCATAGAATTGAAGACTTCGAAAGGATCCTAAAGGTCGTCTAGTCCTGCCCCTTGCAATGCAGGAATATCAGCTGAAGCATCCATGATAGATGGCCAGCCAACCTCTGCTTAAAAACCTCCAGGAAAAGAGAGTCCACAACCTCCCAAGGGAGAGAATTCCACTGTCAAACAGCTCTTACCACCAGAAAGTTCTTCCTGATGTTTAGTCAGAATCTCCTTTCTGGTAACTTGAAGCCATTGGTTCAAGTCCCACCACCAGAGCATTTAAAAAAAAGAAATCTTGCTCCATCTTCCACGTGACAGCCCTTGAGATATTTTAAGGTAGCAATCATATCTTCCAGGCTAAACATACACAGCTCCCTCAACCTTTCCTCATAAGGCTTAGTTTCCAGACAATTGATCCTCTTGATTACGTTACTCTGCACACGTTACAGCTTGTTAACATCCTTCTTAAACTGTGGTGCACAGAATTGGGCACAGTATTCCAGATGTAGTCTGACCAAGGCAGAATAGAGTGAGACTATTACTTCCCTTGATCTGATGCAGCCTAGAATAGCATTAGTGCTTGCTTGCTTGCTTGCTTGCTTGCTTGCTTGCTTGTTTTGCTGCTGCTGCTGCTGCTGCTGCTGCTGCTTCACCACACTGTTGACTCATGTTCCAGCTTGTGGTTCACTAAGACCCCTAGATTCTTTTCACATGTACTGCTAGCAAGCCAACTGTCTCCCATCTTATATTTGTGCATCTGGTTCTTCCTGCCTAAGTGTCCCTAATGAAATTCATTTTGTTAGCTTGTGCCTAGTTCTCCAATCTGTTACGGTCATTTTGTATCCTTATTCTGTCTTCTGTGGCATTAGCTACCCCTTCCAGTTTGGTGTCATCTGCAAATTTGATGAGCATCCCCTCAATCCCTTCACCTAAGTTCTTTATAAAGACGTTAAACAACAACGGGCCCAATACAGAACCCTGTGGCACTTTTAAAAATGTATCTGTTACTACCCCTGTGCATGGCTGGGATGGGGAAGATGTTGAACTATTGGTCCCATCATCCCTAGTCATTGGTCATGCTTGTGGGGCTGATGGGAGTTGGAGTCTGACATCTGGAGGGCCACAGCTTCCTGCAACCCTGATGCTTCGCCACCTGCTCAATTTAGTATGCAAAAGATGCCATTCTTAATGGATTTTATGAAGTACATCATGAAACTTAGGTGCCTTTCAGGGGGTTTAAATATGATGTGAGCCAAATTGAGCATTATTTTGACAATGGAATGGTGGTTGAATAAAAATTCTCCAGATAAATATGTGGGTGCAGAGTGTTATCCTAATCAGCTGACAACCTGCCCTTGATTTCCATCTACTGTGGCTATTGTTAAATTTTGCAATCCTATGTCTGATATACCCAGGAATAAGGAATCACAAGACGTTGCCCTTGCCTGTTGGTCATTCACATATCAAGCAGATCAACTGCAGGATTTCTATTAGTGTCACACCGGGAGGAAAAACTTCAGGAGTGTTTTTCCCCAAAGTGTCTGAAAAAATTTCACAGCTTTAGACAACAAAAACAGTTACATAACTCTAATCATTTTTCTTAGATTGTTCCCCCCACCCACAAAATATTCTACTTAAAGGAGCAAAATAGCTTAATCCATCCTATAAATAACAGAAAGTTTATCGCCTTGCTATTAAAGCACAAGAGTATTTGCTATGGAATATATAGAGCAGAAGCCAGAGGACGGAAATGCAACATTTTAACAATCTTCTTTAAAGTCATAAACCAGAAATGGAGGAGAGAGGAGGCCTCTAAAGTATGGTTACCAGATGTCCCTGTTTCCCGGGGACAGTCCCCGGATTTACAAATCTGTCCCCGGACAAAATCCATCCCCAGATTTCATTTAATGTACCCGGATTTATATTTTAAGTGTTGTAGATTTATTAGTAGGGAATGAATGTTGTGATTGGTTCAACGGCACAAGGCACATCATATGGAGACTTCCGGCGAGGCAAAATGGCGGGCACCACGGCAGTGAGCAGCCCCTGAATCCAGCCAGAGCCAACTGCGCTACCAGGCTGGCTCAGGGCTGCTGAGGCTGCCGCTGCTGCCACCACTGCCAAGGGCGAACTGGGGATGCCTGGGGTGTCAAATAGGGGAACCACTGACCCCCCGCCCGACCCAAATCAAGCCGGGAGTGAGAGCACCCAGCCGACTGCCAAGCGGTGCTCCGGGGTCAGGAAAACCCCAGAGCTGACGCAGGGAGAAGGAGGAGAGGAGAGGAGAAGGAGAAGGAAGAGAGAGAAAGAGGAAGGAGAAAAAAGAGGAGAGCCCCGACCTTGCCGCGCCACTGCCGCTGCTGAGGAGGAGAGATAGGAGAGCACCAGGAGGGCAAGGACATGTGGCTGAGCCCAAGCCTACTCCACGGTGGCTAGTACTCCAAGAGAGCAGGCCGGGGCCCAGAGGAAGGCCACGCGACAGAGGAGACCACAGAAGAGAAGATATTACTTCTTTTTTTAAAAAAAAATTAAAATAACTTTTTTTCTCTCTTTTTTTTAAAAAACAGTGTCCCCGGATTCTTTGAAAAAAAATCTGGTAATCTTACTCTAAAGGTGTACAATGGACAATTTATTACGGCCCAATGCATTTCATAAGGTGGCATGGGTGTAGCCAGGGGGCAGGGCGGCAACTAAATCAAGTAAATACATAAAAATACTTAACTAACTGACCAGTTGCATTGCAGGTAATATCTCAACCCTGCAATGAAGGGCTTCAATTTTGCCCATTGACTTTGTGTGGCCCCAGTCCCACAAATGTATTATTGTGGATGCCAAAGCACCTGCGGCCCCCTGGAATTGGTTCCAGTGTTTGCCAGTGAACCTGCTACTACATAAGACCTTATCAGTCACTGAGATCTGGATTATACAAATGAAAAGACTTACCACATCCATGATTTGCCTGAGGCTGAGGCTGAAGGAGACAGTGAGCGGCTGGGAGTCATTGGCCACAGGCCTTTCCAAAGGGTTGTAATTCTTCAGGAGTTCCTTGTAGAGTTTCCTCTGGTACTCTCCCTGCAGGGACACTGGAGAAACAGAGGCAAATAGAGAGGAGTTTACAAAAATCTCACTGTCAACTCAATGTCATTGACAGGTTCAAAACTCTGCTCAAATCAGCAGTGGGTAGAGCCAAACAGCTAAACTGTCATGCTACTGAAAAATCTTACTGAGATCTGGTGACAGGCAAGAGCTCAGAGTGCAACCCTTGAGCCAGAAAGGCTCCATTTAAATCTCAACTCCACAAAGCACTCTGTAGGTAATGTCAGGTGCGCTTCCACCATGGTGTTTTGAACCACAATTCCCATCAGCCCCAGTGCAGGCAAAACAAATGGAGGCTGCCAGGGTTGGCAAAGACTGCCTTAGGCAATCCACTGCTTCTCAGTCTAGCCTGGCATCTGCCCTGTGAGAGTAATAAGACACAGTGTGGTATAGTGATTAAAATGAATAGGGAGACTTGAATTCAAATCCCTGCTCAGTTCCAAAGCTCACTAGTCATCTTTGGAGGGGTGCCCCATCTCTGTCTCTTTGCCTGATCTTGGCAGTTTTCCCAAAGTAGTAAAAAATCTGATTATCAAAAAAATGAAAGAAATATGCAACTTTGCTCAGTTTTAATCATTCATCTTGATTGCAGAATTCTTCTTTTCTTGGTGCAGAATCTGGATGTGGACTTTTAATTTTGCTTTAGTTCAAAGCAGAGAGAGAGAGAGAGAGAGAGAGAGAGAGAGAGAGAGAGAGAGAGAGAGATTCGCCTAGGACCAGATCACTTCCTTGGCCCTTCTAAATCAGGCATCTTTGGAAAGGCGCAAAGCTTCATTTAATTGAGAGTTGTATCAAGGATGAGGGTTGGATGAGATGCCGTGGCTTTAAAAAGATGAAGAAGACTCCAACCATAGATGTAGACACACACACACACAGAGAGAGAGAGAGAGAGAGAGAGGGAGAGAGATTTCTTATTCCTGCAGCCAAGAATATATTACAAGCTCAACTACACCACTGAGGTCCAGTGGGGATGACCAGGGAACACAAAGTATGCCTTCAGCCAGAGATAATTTGGGAATTACCAGCAAAAAGAGCACTAGACAAGAGTGGGAGTGTGAGGTTGGCTAGAGTCAAAATGACCTGTCAAGATCCATTTAAAAAATCATCCTGGCTTCTATAAATCCATCCAGTAGGGTCTGGACAAAGTGTACATTATTCAGGGAAAAGGAAACAGAGCCAGATCTCACAAGTGCACATGATACTAAATATTTAGGTGGTCAGTTGCTGCTGCTGTAGACCCTGCAAAGCTCACTTCTCTGGGTTGCTGCTGCAGCTGTTGTTATTAACCTGAGTTATTACCAGCCCTTCCCTATCAGCTCCCAGGGGGGAATCACAATCATTATGGGAAAGGAATCCCGCAATTAAGGGCTGCAGCAGAGAATGCCCTATCTCCTGGACCACCACCAGCACTTCTGCCAAGAGACCCCTCTGATGACCTCCGCACCCAAGAAGGCCTCTAGGGAAGGAGGCAACCTTTCAGGTATTTGGGGCCCAAGTGACTTTGGGCTATAAGCACTACCATGAGCACCTTAAATTGGGCCTGGAAACCAACTGGCAGCCAATGCAACAGTTTTAAAATGGGGGTTATAAGAGTTCTGAATGCAACTGCTGCCAGTAACCTGGACACTGCATTTTGGACCAAGTGAAGGTTATTAGCATGCATTGTGTCTGTACAGGATTACAGTTGTGAGAAGAAGTTTCAGTGTCCAAACAACATAGCCATCTCTTCTCAAGTGCTTTCTCCATGTACATCCTCTGAACAGTGGGAGACACTCCTCCTGATTACTTCCCTTGCAGAAGAAGTGGGGAACATCCACCCCACAGGCTAAATTGGGTCTGGTGGGGCTCCAAATTTGGCCAATAAGTCAATTTCCCCCAAAAGCACACCTACTTGCCCCTCACACCTGACTTCATATGTGTCATCAAGTGTGCATCAGGTGGTGATGTGGCTTCTGAGGAAGAATGTTCAGGACAAATAAAAGCAAGTACTTATTCACACAGTACATAGTTTAAACTATGGAACTCTCTCCCACAGGAGGTAGTGATGGCCATCAACTTGGATGGCTTTAGAGGAGAATTGGCTACTCACCATGATGGCCCTGCTCTACTCCCACAGCTGGAGGCAGCAAGGCTTCTGAATAGCTGTTGCTGGCAACCACAGGAGAGGAGAGCTGCTCTTGTGCTCAGGTTCTGCTTGTGGGTTTCCCGCTGGGGCATCTGGTTGGCCACTGTGAGAAGAGGATGCTGGACTCGATGGGACATTGGCCTGATCTAGCAGGCCCTTTCTATTTTCTTATAATGTTCCCAACTGTTCCTTGGCAAGGAATGCTTGCAGTCAGTGCCAGTCAGCTGGCTGGAGGCAACTGCAAACAGGCTGGAACTGGGAACTTCATAGCACAGCTGATGCCTGCCCAAAGCAGCCTTGCTAGAAGAGCCAAAAACTTGATCTGCTGTGCTATAGAGTTCCCAATGAAAACTTTGTAGCTCAGCTAATGCTTGCCCAAAGCAGGCTTGCTGGAAGTGCCAATCAGCTGATCAACTATGATAACAAGCCCGCTGGGATTGCTATTGAGTTTCTCACTGGGAACTCCATAGCATGACCAATATCTGCTCAAAGCTGACTGGTTAGAAAAAATTGCGCTTAGAGCAAGCCCACTGGGGGGATTGGCATTTATAAGAAGCCCTAAAGCACAGCTTGATGTAAGTACAAACATTCCTTGTCATTGGTAGCTTGAATGAAGGCCAATGATGCAACGGATCTCTCTCTGCTCAGGGTTTTTGGCTACCATTGGATACTAGCCTTTTCACCAGTTTGACATTTCTCTACTTAAGAAGATAGCTTTGGCAAACTGGTGTCATTCCTCACATTCTGTATATGCATTGACTTATGCATTTTGTAATGTTTGTTTATTTATTTAGAGCCTTGTACTCCTCTGCTGAAAAAGCTCTCAGAGCAGATTAGATATGATCAATTAAAGTAAGACTGTTCTTGCCCACAAGCTTACACTCTAAGGGCATGACACAAAAGGAAAAAGGGATGGGGAGGAAAAATATGAGGGACCACACATTTTATTTGTCATCCCAATACATATGTTAGAAAGTGCTGCTGTTCTTGTATCTCCATCTCCTTCTCTTCCCCATCCTTCCTCCTTCCCTTAATTATTTCCCTCTGCTTCTGAAATTCAGATTGTATTTGATTTTATGACTTCTACCAAATGTCATATTCATTGATGGGGCTATTATAGAAAATAACAACATCAATCCCACATCAGCTCACCTGCACATGTCGCAAATGCACACTAGCATAACCATGTACACACAAATGCATGCATTTTGATAAGGATCTGCATATGTGGAAATATCATGTCAGAATTAGGACCTCACTCAAGGGCTTTGAGTCAAAATTTACATCTTTATCAACGACTTGGATGATGGACTCAAGGGCATCCTGATCAAATTTGCAGATGACACCAAACTGGGAGGGGTGGCAAACACCCCAGAGGACAGGATCACACTTCAAAACGACCTTGACAGATTAGAGAACTGGGCCAAAACAAAGAAGATGAACTTTAACAGGGAGAAATGTAAAGTATTGCACTTGGGCAAAAAAAATGAGAGGCACAAATACAAGATGGGGGACACCTGGCTTGAGAGCAGTACATGTGAAAAGGATCTAGGAGTCTTGGTTGACCACAAACTTGACATGAGCCAACAGTGTGACGCGGCAGCTAAAAAAGCCAATGCAATTCTGGGCTGCATCAATAGGAGTATAGCATCTAGATCAAGGGAAGTAATAGTGCCACTGTATTCTGCTCTGGTCAGACCTCACCTGGAGTACTGTGTCCAGTTCTGGGCACCACAGTTCAAGAAGGACACTGACAAACTGGAACGTGTCCAGAGGAGGGCAACCAAAATGGTCAAAGGCCTGGAAACGATGCCTTATGAGGAACGGCTAAGGGAGCTGGGCATGTTTAGCCTGGAGAAGAGGAGGTTAAGGGGTGATATGATAGCCATGTTCAAATATATAAAAGGATGTCACATAGAGGAGGGAGAAAGGTTGTTTTCTGCTGCTCCAGAGAAGCGGACACGGAGCAATGGATCCAAACTACAAGAAAGAAGATTCCACCTAAACATTAGGAAGAACTTCCTGACAGTAAGAGCTGTTCGACAGTGGAATTTGCTGCCAAGGAGTGTGGTGGAGTCTCCTTCTTTGGAGGTCTTTAAGCAGAGGCTTGACAACCATATGTCAGGAGTGCTCTGATGGTGTTTCCTGCTTGGCAGGGGATTGGACTCGATGGCCCTTGTGGTCTATTCCAACTCTATGATTCTATGAAAATTGAAACATTTAAATGAGGAAGGTTGATTTGGTCCCCAATAGGTGTATGAATAATTTAGACAGGGAGAGTGAGGATTCCCCACAAGCGTCTGGCAGTCCTTTAGGGGGCTGGGTGCGCTGCTTGGTCACTGGTTATCTGACGGGAGAATCCTTTCCCAGAACACTTCATGTGCTCACCTTTTTAAAAAATTGCACACTTAAGCAGGAGCATCAAAAGCTGCTGTGAGGATAGGAACTGAAATGAAGATTCGCACAAATTTGAAAACTGGCAAATTTTTCAGCATTCTTTTTTCTTTTTAATGTCCACATTTTCAAAGTTTCCTCTTGAAGTATTGGTGTCTTTATATAGTTTCACCAAACACACACACACAACCATATAAATGAACATAGCTCAGTTGATAGAGCATGAGACTCCTAATCTCGGGGTTCTGGGTTCTAGCCCCACATTGGACAAAAAGATTCCTGCATTGCAGGGGGCTGGACTAGATGACCTCGTGGTTCCTTTCAGCTCTATAATTCTATGAATGTATTATTCTAATAATACATATCATTTATGTTAAACTTCACAGAAATGCTAAGAATGGACCAACTGTATCTTTGTGGAAATTCAACTTTTGAAGGATACTTTTTAAAAAGGGAATTAGTCTTCCTAATTCATTTTCACACAGTTGCACTAACAGTGCAATCTTTTGTATGTCTACTCAGAAGTAACCCCTATCAAGTTCAATCAGGCTTCCTCTTAAGTTAGTTTTTCAGCTTCACAGCACAACTACAACCTGTGTGGAAATAACTAAGTCCCACTGAATTCAACAGAACTTTACTCTCAAGTACTGGATTTCAGGCTTTGTATCTATTTGATGAAGCCAAGATTTGTACACCTTGGGCTTGATGCAAACTCAAGTACTTCAGGAGAGGTTAGTGCATCCTCAAATCTCTCCAAGGAAAATCAATGGGACTTAAAATGCTTTGCTGTAGCCCTTAATCTATTGGGGGGGGGGGCTAAATCCAACAGTCACTGAGAATGTTACAAAAAAATCATATTAGAACAACATAACTTTGAAATGCTGAAATGCTTTAGTGACTTACTTCTGTTAGTTACATGATTATCACTGCCTATACTTTTCTGCATTCAATTTCCCACTGAACTCCCTGTTTACAATCACCCACCCACCTCCAAAGCCATGTGTATGTACACTCAGTGCTTATATACACTTAATGCCATGTGTGGTGAAGCAGTTAAAGTATTGGCCTAGGACCTGGGAGACCAGGGTTCCAACCATTCAGTCATGAGTTCATTGAGGGGCCTTGGTCAGTCACTGCTCCTCTCAGCCTAACCTACCTTGCAGGGTTGTTGTGGGGATTCAGCAAGGAGGAGGAAGAACCATGTACACCATATTGAGCTCCTTGGAGGAAAGGCTGGGATATAAATGCTATAATTGCAATAAAGATAGCCTGACAAGGTGGACTTGTCCATGGAAGTTTATGGCATCACAAATGTGTTGTTCTTTAAAGTGCCAAAAGACTCTTGTCCTTTTAAGCTCTCATCTTCTCAAGCTCCTAATGATCTTCAAGCTGAATTAGGAGTTGATAATACAAATCTTTCACCTTACCTGCAGGTGCCCATTATCTTGAGCACCTTCCTGATACCCTGCAATGATCAGGTGAGCCAATTCCAGGCTTTATCCAGAGAGACATGCAGAGCAGGTCCAAAATCATGCATGCTGAAAGCAATCCATACTTTGTCCTTGTTTGGCTAGTATATTCTTTTTGTGATTCTTTCTTTACTTTAGCATATTACTTACATCATTACTATGGAGGTTTTTCAGGGAGGGAGGGGTTCTCCACACCAAAAGCCCTATTAAAAGGCAGGCTCTAAGGGTCTTAAAATACACACCATACATAAATAACATAAATATCATCAAAATACGCCCTCTTCTCTGGAAGCCACATAAATACCAATATGTAGGGGAAATATCAGGAGGTGGAAATGCTCCCACAAGCTCAGAGGAAACTTCCTCTCTATCCAGACTAGATCATCCAAACTAAGACAGAATGCATGTGTTTGGCGATGTGGGGGGGGGGGCGAGCAATGCCTGTGAGACGTGTGCGGTCCAGACCAAAAGTCCTGGTCGGACACTCCTAAGCCACCCCAGCAAACTCTCCTTCAGCACCAAGGACGGCTCCTCGCTCGGAGGCAGCGGCTCACCGTGCACGAGTCCCCCGGCGAGGATCAGCACCACGGACAGCTCCCGGGTCCCCATCCCGGGATCCGGGCGGCGGCGGCGGCGGCGATGGGTCTCTCGCAGCCCCGGCAGCCCAAGCTGGGTCTCCCGCGGTCTGGAAGCGGCGGCGCTTCCGCGCGAGGAAGGGCAGGCGGCCGGCGGGAAGCTCGGGGTGCCTGGCAGGCGGCGGGCCGTGGAGCCCCGCGCTGGCGGCGCCGAGCTAGATGGAGGCTCCTCCTCTCGGGGCTGATCTCCGCTTCTCTCCTCCGCCAGCTGCCGGCTCAGCCGCGGCGCCGGAATGCCAATCGCCTGGCGCTGCTTTCTTTCCTCCGCGACCACCCCCTCCTCTCCCCACGTGACGGGTTTCCCTCCTTGCGAGTAGATCCACCGGCGAGGACCATCCGTTGCCAGAAGGAGGCTGATCCTGCAGCAGCGACAGGCAAGAATGCAGCACCCCAGCCCGGGCAGAGCCGCCTTTATAGGGGGAGCGCCCAGGCTGGCCCCCGCCTCCTCCTCTCTCGTCCCTCCCTCCTTCTCAGGCATCAACCCACCTCTGGTCCCTTCTGGCTTGGCTCCGGCTCAGTCCCTTCCCGCTCCAGAGTCTGCCTGGGGGAGTTGGCGGCGCTTCCGCAGCGGCGTTTGCCTGCCTGCCTGCCCACCTCGGTCGGTCCCAACCTAGAGCGGAGCCAGGCGCACATGGCAGGCGCACGCTTCCCGGGGGGGGGGGGCTGCGGGGAGGAAGCCGTTGGATGTGTTTAGGGCTTCCTCCCGAGCCAGCGTGCAAGGGAGACTGGCAGGACTTCGGCGCATTCCTTTTCAGCCTGAGATCCGATTGCACGCCCATCTGGAGTCCCGTTAATGTGACAGCGGCTTCCGAGTAAACGTAAATGGGCATCGAGGATCCGGTTGTCAGAGCTGCGCGGAGGCAGCTTCGTAGCGATGGAGAGGAGCTTCTCACAGCCTCGGAGGCGCTCTCGGTGCGGTGTGCTGCACGATGTAAAGATCTGCTATAAAATAAATTCAAAATTAAATTGTCACTCACGCGGACACTTTAAGGCTGCAATCCTGAACGTAGGTATCTGGGACTCAACACCCGCTGGCTACTTCATTATAACCATGTTGACAATATAAATCTGCAACTTTTCTTTTCTTCAAAGGAAAGAGTTTATTGTGCCCTTTGGCATGCAGGCTCCACAAATAGACAGGTGAAGTTTTTGTTAGAGTAGCTACTCAAGATGCTCACTTACTTGGTGGTAAGGTTATAATTAATTAATTATTTATGCCCAACCTTTTCCTCTGATGGGACTCAAGGTGGCTTACTGATTAAAAACAAGACTCGCTAAAAACTTGGGGGGGGGGACAATAAAACTATATGCATGTATAACATCTGTTTGAAACATACAAATAATAAGATCCATTCACCTCATTAAAATCTGCTTCTGGGCATTCAGTCTGTAGGCTACTTGAGTTCTTCAGGGGGGGAAATGTTTCTAAAGACTACTCACATATGTTCTAAAACATCCCACCATCCCTGTCTCTTAACACCAGACAGGCATGTTCACTCTACCCTTTGCAGTGCCTGCTAAAAAAAACCCTGATGTATGTTCTAATTTGTTTTAAGTTTATTGCTGATTTTCTCTCTTTTTTAAAAAAAAAGATATTTATTCAAATTTTACAAAATAGAAATCGTAGGTTTACAAAATAGAAAAAATTATAACAACAATTAACAAACTAAAATTATAACAACAGTTAACAAACTAAGAAAAAACACACACATAGAAAAGAGAATAAAAAAGAATACAAAATGCAAAAAGAAAAACAGGCAATTGAAAAAGAAATTTAAAAAGAAAAAATATCCATTTTTCAATATCTTTGGACTCATTTACTTGTTTCCTTGACCTCCTCTCACCTCCCCTTTTTGTATTCCCATTCACAAAGACATTTCAGCAAATCCTTACCCTCTTTCAACCATCTTTACTCTATATCTTAACCTATTATAACTATATATTTTCATTCATTATCAATCCATATTTGCATATTCTTGTTAATCTTAATACCAATACCACATATTTTCAATCCAACATCATTTTAACATTCATTAATTTTACAGTATTTCTGCAAATAGTCTTTAAATTTCTTCCAGTCTTCTTCCACCAACTCTTCTCCCTGGTCTCGGATTCTACCAGTCATTTCTGCCAATTCCATATATTCGATCACCTTCGTCTGCCACTCTTCCAGTGTGGGTAAATCTTGTGTCTTCCAATACTTTGCAATCAGTATTCTTGCTGCTGTTGTTGCATACATAAAGAAAGTTCTATCCTTCTTTGGCACCAATTGGCCGACTATGCCCAAGAGAAAGGCCTCTGGTTTCTTCAGGAAGGTATATTTAAATACCTTTTTCATTTCATTATAGATCATCTCCCAGAAAGCCTTAATCTTTGGGCATGTCCACCAAAGGTGAAAGAATGTACCCTCAGTTTCTTTACATTTCCAACATTTATTATCGGGCAAATGATAGATTTTTGCAAGCTTGACTGGTGTCATGTACCACCTGTATATCATTTTCATAATATTCTCTCTTAAGGCATTGCATGCCGTAAATTTCACACCTGTGGTCCACAACTGTTCCCAGTCAGCAAACATAATGTTATGTCCAAAGTCCTGTGCCCATTTAATCATAGCAGATTTAACCGTTTCATCCTGAGTGTTCCATTTTAACAGCAAGTTATACATTCTTGAAAGTATCTTAGCTTTGGGTTCTAACAGTTCTGTTTCCAACCTTGATTTTTCCACCTGGAAGCCGATTTTTTGTCCAAATTATATACCTCTCTTATTTGATAATAATGAAGCCAGTCTCGCACTTTATCTTTCAATTTCTCAAAACTCTGCAATTTCAATTTGTCTCCTTCTTGCTCCAAAATTTCCCAATATTTCGGCCATTTGGCCTCCATATTGATTTTTTTCTGAGCTTTAGCCTCCATCGGTGACAACCACCTTGGGGTTTTATTTTCAAGTAAGTCTTTGTATCTTATCCAGACATTAAACAATGCTTTCCTGACAATATGGTTTTTAAATGCCTTATGTGCTTTAACCTTGTCGTACCACAAATATGCATGCCACCCAAACACATTATTAAAGGTAAAGGTAAAGGTACCCCTGCCCGTACGGGCTAGTCTTGCCAGACTCTAGGGTTGTGCGCCCATCTCACTCTATAGGCCGTGGGCCAGCGCTGTCCGGAGACACTTCCAGGTCACGTGGCCAGCGTGACATCGCTGCTCTGGCGAGCCAGCGCAGCACACGGAAACGCCGTTTACCTTCCCGCTAGTAAGCGGTCCCTATTTATCTACTTGCACCCGGGGGTGCTTTCGAACTGCTAGGTTGGCAGGCGCTGGGACCGAACGACGGTAGCGCACCCCGCCGCGGGGATTCGAACCGCCGACCTTTCAATCGGCAAGCCCTAGGCGCTGAGGCTTTTACCCACAGCGCCACCCGCGTCCCTGCCAAACACATTATTAAAACCTTCTAAATCCAAAATGTCTGTGTTCTCCAGAAGCAGCCACTCCTTCAACCAGCAAAATGCTGCTGATTCATAATAAAGTTTAAGGTCTGGCAGGGCAAATCCACCTCTTTCCTTTGCATCAGTTAATATTTTAAATTTTATTCTGGGCTTCTTGCCCTCTGATTTTCTCTTTTGAGTGTTTTAAAGAGCTGTTTAACTGATAATTTTATTGTTTTGTGTTTTTGTAAACTGCTTTTTTACAATCAAGCAGTGTATAAATTTCATTAATAAAATTCATCAGAATGTGATATACACCTGGATTTTCCTATGGGTCATGACAGGTATTGCACAGACATTAAGCATTATTCAAATTACTTTGAAAGGTATTAAGAAAAATATTGCTTGCTTAGAAATATCAAACAATATTTACAAGGTAACATGGTATAGCATGCAAGCATGCAAGGTTTAAAAAAAACAATAGTGGTAACTGTTGGAAGCAAAAAAAAAAAGTCAAAAGTTTTCTATGAATTATTAAGGAGCTTTCTGACAAAAAAACCCAAAGATCTTCCCCAATTGATTATCTTTCTAAACATTTCCCACAGGAGACTGGAAGAAGTCAAGAAGATGTGGATTGGCTAAGAGGCCTCCTGATGACTACATTTAACTAACTCTAAGGTCATAAGAAGGGACGCGGGTGGCGCTGTGGGTAAAATCTCAGTGCCTAGGACTTGCTGGATCGTATGGTCGGTGGTTCGAATCCCCGTGGCAGGGTGAGCTCCCGTCTTTCAGTCCCAGCTCCTGCCCACCTAGCAGTTCAAAAGCACTCTTAAGTGCAAGTAGATAAATAGGTACCGCTTTATAGCGGGAAGGTAAACGGCGTTCCGTGTGCTGCGCTGGCTCGCCAGAGCAGCTTCGTCACGCTGGCCACGTGACCCGGAAGTGTCTCCGGACAGCACTGCCCCCCGGCCTCTAGAGTGAGATGAGCGCACAACCCCAGAGTCGGACACGACTGGCCCGTACAGGCAGGGGTACCTTTACCTTTACGGTCATAAGAACATCCAAAGAGGCTGGATGAGGCCAATGGCCCACCTAGTCCAGCATCCTGTTCTCACAGGGGCCAACCAGATGCCACAATGGCAAAATCCCAAGCAGGACCAGAGTGAAACAACCATCTCTTCTCCCTGCTATATCCACCAATTGGCCTGCAGAAGCCTCCTGCCTCCAGCAGTACAGTTCAAACTTAGCCATCAAAGTTAGCAGGTCACTGCTAGCCTTTTCCTCCATGAATCTGTCTAATCCTCTTTCAAAACCACCCAGGTTTGTGGCCCTCACTGTCTCTTGTGGGAGTGAATTCCATAGCGGAACCATGTGCTGTGTGAAGGACTTTCTTTACTGTGCCCTAAATCTTTCAACATCCAGCATCATGGGATGTCCATGAGTCCTAGTGCTACCTCTATACTGTATTCTCTAATATGTGAGCTTTGCTAGTAATGTCTCACTTAAGAAAGGTCACTTTAACAATGCATTATTTGAGTTGTGGGCTATGACAATACGAATATTGGCTTCATTTCCATGCTGCTTCCCCGGTTGTAATACTAACTTTTTGAACTCCACAAACATTTCTTTCTCGGTTCATTAAATTACTCTTAAATAATGAACCATATGAAGCCCAGTTTATTTTGTCAGCATTTCTTCAGTTATGAGTTTCTTAAAAGCAAGATATTTAAACAAGTTATCTGAACCACTCATGCACTGAGATCATCTTTAGAGGCTCTCCCCCAAGGTGGAGCAAGCAGGTAATGATCAGGTAACCTTCTTGCTGTGGTATGGTGTCCCATTTGTGGAATTAGTTTCTCAGAGAAGCCTACCTGGTGTCAACCTTGCTATCCTTTCAGCACCAGAGACTTCTTTTAAAAATCTCCTAGGGGGGGGGGGAGAGAGAGAGAGAGAGAGAGAGAGAGAGAGAGAGACTGTGTGGTATAGCGGTTTAAGTGTTTTACTAGGACCTGGTTCTAGTAAATCATCAGTCCACCATGAAGCTCACTGGGTAATATTTGGACAGTATCCAATTAACAGTGATTTATTTTTTTTGCACACTGAGAGCCTTCCAGGATTCCTGATTGAGCCAAGATCATTGCCCAAGCACTGCTCATAGCAGATTGATGGGGCAGCTCAGGAGCACCTGTGAGAAGGGTGTTCCTGATTACCCCTGCTCTCTGTAGTTCCTCAGCAACCAGTATTCAGAGAGACAGGCAGCCTCTGACATGGCTAGGAACCAGGGGCAGCCTAATTATCCACGAATCTGTCAAATCCCTCTTTTAAGCCATCTATGCCTCATATCTCATGTCAGATAATTCC